GCAAGGCAGGGATGACTAAGAAAGTCACAACCGCAGTTACTTTGGGGAGTGAGGCGACAGCTGTGATTGGAACACAGCCCATGGATGGGCTTTTGGGGGAGCTGGTGAACTGCTGTTTGTTGACCTTGGGGGGTGGATACAATCATGTTCACCTTAAAGCTGGGTTTCTCAAACCTAGAAGAATTGACATTCAGGCTAGATAATTCTTGGTTGGATGAGCTGTTCTGTGCATTTAGGGTATTTAGCTACATCCTGGGCTCCTACCCACTGTGATGCCTAAAACATTCTCCTCCCCCAGTCAGCCAAAAATGTCCCTAGATATTGCCAAATGTCCCCAAGGGCAAAATCAACGTGATTGAGAACTCCCCCTTAGAATAACTGCTTCAGCTATACGTTTGTTTTACGCAGGTTTTCGGATTTGGCTGCATGTGTGTTTGGGCACACTTTATTTTACAATAAAAAAAATTTTTTAAATTCCAGTGGAGGCCAGGTGTGGAGGCTCATGACTGTAGTCCCAGTGCTTTGGGAAGCTGAGGTGGGAGGATCACTTGAACCCAGGAGTTTGAGCTTGCAGCGAGCTATGATGTTGCCACTGCACTCTAGCCGGGGCAACAGAGTGAGGCTCTGTTTGAAAAATGACAAAACAAAACAAAACAAAAACCTTAGCTCAAAAGTTCGTCTCCACTTCTCAGCTATGAAGACCCCCCCCCAAAAAAAAAAAAAGCTATGAAGCCCAGGATAACTGGGATTGTGTCCCCTGAAGGACCTACACAGCACCTGGCACAAAGTAGGTGCTCAATAAATGCTAAATTAATACGGGAAAAAACAATCTGTATAGTCACTTTGTTTTTTTTTATTATTTTTCTTTTTTTAGCCAGCTTACTCTAGAGATGTATAGTCACTTTAGATCGCAATATACTCCAAATGGGTTAAAGAGTTAAATGTAATATTAAACTATTATTATTATGCTTTGAGATAGGGTTTCCCTTTTGTTGCCTGGGCTAGAGTACAGTGGTGTGATCATAGCTCTCTGCAGCCTCAAACTTCTGGGCTCAAACTCCTGGGCTCAAGTGATCCTCCTGCCTCAGCCCCCTCAGTAGCTGGGACTACAGGTGCGCACCACCACACCTGGCTAATTTTTCTTATTTTTTGTAGAGATGGGGTTTCGCTCTTGCTTAGGCTGGTCTCGAATTCCTGGCCTCAAGCCATCATCCCGCCTTGGCCTCCCAAAGTGTTGGGATTACAGGTGTGAGCCACTACACAGGGCCTTTAAGTCATTATTTTAACAAACACTTATTAAGCACCTACTTTGTGCCAGGGTCGCTGGATAAAGCAGTCACCAAAACCAATCGGTTCCCTTTTCCTATGGCGCTGACACTTTAGTGGGGGAGGCAGATGGCAAACAAGTAAACAAATAAATTTGTTTTTCCCATAGCGAAAGTAGCTATTAGGTTCACAGAGCAAAGCGATAGGGAAAATATTGACTGGGGAGGGGCCACGTTAGGCGTTTAGGGGGCGGGAACACACAGGTTGAGCCTCAAAAAGTAGGAGAAGGTGGACACATATGCAAGGAAAAACATTTCAGGAAGGTGCAACAGCACGTACAAAGGCCCTGCGGTGGTTGAGATCCAGGGTCCTGGTACCTCACCCTGGCACTGGGAAACAAGCTCCAGTCACACAAATCGACTGGATTACTCTTCTACTCAGAGTCCTCCCATGGCTCCCTAGTGCCCTGTAGGTCAAATCCAAGCTCCTCAGCCAGGCGCTCTGGGTAGGACTTGACCGCAGCTGGGGCAGAAATGCCGCCCTCGCTTCCGCCCTCCCTTGAGGAGTGTCACTCCAGGCCACGCCCCCATCTGCAACCCACACTCCAGGCCCCGCCTATGAGTCCCGCCCCGCCTCACCATTGGACAGCTTGGAGAGACTCGAGTGCTGGTTGGCTGGAGTGGCCGTCAGTTAATCTCAAAGCCTTGAAAACCGGTCCCAGAACTTCGAGGGGGCGGGCTCGGGTGCGGGCGCGGCGGGGGCTGCGGCTTCAGGTAAAGCGCCAGCTTGCCGGGACGGCGACTGGGGTCCTGGCGAGGGATCCGGGGGGCGCACCGGGACGGGGCGCGGCGCGGCGCTGCGCTCCCAGCCGGTCTTCGGGCGCAGCGCGCTGCGACGGGGCGGGAGCCGTGTCGCACTGGGAGCCCCAGGTGGGTAGCCCCGGGGGGCCCTGGGTTCCTGAGCTCAGCCCCCTCTCGCCCTTCAGGAGCCAGTGAGGGGGCTTGTTCGCCCTCCTAGCGCCCCACCCGTCCCCGGGACCTTTTCCGAGCCTTGCTCCCGGACGGCTGGGGGTCCCGGGTCCAGCCCCTCGCGCTGGGCTGGGTGTGGGAGGGCGATACGGAAGCGGCGCTGCGGGGAGGGACGGGTGGCCCCCGGACCTGGAGACAATGGGCAGCGGATGGGACCGCCCGGCGGCGTTTCCTGTAGGAAACGGCTCTGTCTCTGCGAGGCCGACCTGGAGGGGATGGGTGTGCTGCTGACCTGAGCAGCCCCCTCCTCCTGTCATCAGCCTCCCCCCGACCTCCCCGCGCCACATCGCAGGGGGCTGAGAGTCCCGCCCCAACATTAGGGGGTGCCAACACCCAGGGCCTCCTGGTAGGCGCCCCCTCCCGAGGACTGAGATCCGCAATGGCCCGCCGCGTCCCCCACCCCTCCGGTTTCGCGATCGTAGCTCGGCGTCCCGAAATAGTCCCTGGGGCGGGAGAGGGGGCGTATGGCGTCGGCTGTGACGGCCTAATGAGGGGGTCTCAGGCAGAGGATCCGGATCTAGTGGTGACAGCCAGGGCTTGGAGACGGGGAGAGGGGAGGGCAGGGGGCGGGGAAGGGGGGCCCCCACTGCAGCGAGTCTGCAGCCCCTGGAGCGGCAGAGGTGCGGGCCTGTCCTTCCACACTCCCCCCAGTCCCAGTCAGGGACACAGGCAGAGACTGACATAGGTGCAGCCTGGGAGGGCCAAACTCCTCACGCTCTCTGCCCCTCCTGGCAAGGGGAAGGGGCTATTTCTAGAAACCATTCAAGCTTAGGAGCCAATTTGGGGACTCTGGACTAGCTACGTGGGTTCGAATCCTGCGTCTGCCCATGAGGGATCTTGGACAGCGCATTTAATCGTGCCTTAGTTTCTCCATCTGTACAATGGGAGGACGATGAAAATAGGAAAGCCAATCTCAGAGGCTTTAGGTAAGATTTAAAAAAATAATACCCATAAATTGCTTAGAATAGAAGCTGGCCCCTAGTCAATGCCAAAAGTGTCATTATTGTCATTTGCCATTCTGGGGACATCCACCCATTTTTCAGCCCTGCCTCTGGGTCCAGCTGCTCCAGCTGGTTTAGGTCTTAGGAATGGCCCACAGATGTTTTCTGAAGTCCCAGGGGCTCAGATTTAGGTGTGACCGGGTCACCGGAGGAGGGAGCTGACTCACTGAGTCACACGGCCAACTGTGAGAGAGGCAGATGCAGACCCCTAACGCCTTGATCTGGGCTTTTCCCACAACCCGGTTCTTCCCTGGCAATTTCCTGAAAACAAGCTGTGAGAGGTACTGGCTGTCCTCCGAGATGACCTGCTGCCCTCCTGGCCTGCAGCTGGTGCTAGGGGACGGGAAACAGCTGCTTGGGGACTGGAAAGGGCTCCCCCACCTGGCCTTGGGGTGAGAAGGGAGGTCTCAGGGACGCAGGGTGGACAGAGGTGGGACCTGGAAGGGGTGGAGCAGGGTGAGGAGTCAGACAGGCTGATGAGTGCTCAATGGCTGGTGGTGTCAGGCACGCAGGTGGTCATCTGGAATGTGACAGGTCAGAAGGGGTGGCTGGGAGCGTTGCCAGGTGGTTAGCGAAGAGGGCAGTGGGCCAGGGAAAGTGTCAATCAGGTCTGGCAGGTGCCTGCCGGGGGAGGGCTAGACAAGCAATAGGATAGTGAGAAGTTGCGGCTGGGCTCTGCTGGCAAGGAGTCCCCAGAAGGTGGCAGAGCCCAATCTGAGGCCATTTCCCACAGGGAATCGACTTAAGCGCTCCCTGCTTCAGTCTCCCCATCTGTAAAATGGGAATGACAATATCTGCCTCGCAGGATTGTAGAGAGATTACATGTAATCAGGCGGGGCATACAGTAGGCACTCAATACAAGCTGCCTTCCACTCCCCGAAGCTTTTCCATGTGGACTCTCCAAAGTCCCATCTTTCCCACCCTGTGCTTTTTGAATCAAAGTTCTGGACTCAACGTTTGTCCTTGTTAAATGTCACATTATTCGATGCCCAATTTTCCTTATTTCACAGAGCCTGAAGAATCGCTTTCCCCGTCAGTCCCATGGGGAGCCGCAGCTCTGAAAACCTGGGTGCTTGTGGTTCCATTACCAGCTCTTACAAGCCAAGGACAAAGCCCTGTGACACTCCACTGGAGACATTCCAGGGAGACAAATATCCACTGATTTGCAGCCTTTGGTGCATCCTGTTCACAATTCTCCGTCATGCCTACAAGGGTCTCCCAAGTTTCCTTGGCAAAAATTCAGATGCACAATTACATCTTGTTTGCATTTATCTAAGGAAAAATATTCAAATATCCTGTTCATATATACATATATATACACATTTGTGCTGAATCTGTGCGGATCAGTTTTTAATGAGCCCACGAAGGGCTTCCAACTCTCACCTCCCTTTTCTAAAGGCTCACAGCTCACCTATTTGAGCATAGATTTCTTTTCTCTTTTTTTCAGAGACAAGAGTCTTGCTCTGTTGCCCCAGGTAGAGTGCAGTGGCGTCATCACAGCTCACTACAGCCTCCAACTCCTGGGCTCAAGCGATCCTCCTGCCTCAGCCTCCCGAGTAGCTGGGACTACTGGTGCGCACCACCACACCCAACTAATTTTTCTATTTTTTTGTAGAGACGGGGGTCTGGCTCTTGCTCAGGCTGGTGTCGAACTCCTGAGCTCAAGCTATCCTCCCACCTCAGCCTCCCAGAGTGCTAGGAGTACAGGCGTGAGCCACCGCACCTGGCCTTGAGCATGGATTTCTAATTTTCCCCAGGAGTTAGCAGAACCCCCAGCAGGTCTGAATGCCTCCCCCACACCCAGCTACTCTTGCTTCCTTGTTCATCTTCCTCCCTTTGGCTTGATGCCTTTCCTGCCTCCTCCTGCCCAGTAGGCTGAGGCCTGGGATCCCCTTCATTCATTCATTCATTCATTCAATCCAAAGTTTCCAGGTCTCCTCTGGGAGGAGGAAGGAGAGGGCATGTGTGTAGGGGGCGGGTGGGTTGAGCCCGCAGCCGGAGCCAGAGGGCCAGGGCCTGGCCCTCACCCTCTCTGGGACCCTTTTTCAGGGTCTGTCTGGCAGCTACTGGAGAAAACATGGCCAAGTTTGCCCTGAATCAGAACCTGCCCGGTGAGTGTGCAAAATGAGATAGATGCATGCGTGTGCACAGATCCACACTTGGTGCCCACGTGTGTGGATGCAGCCCTGCAGGTCCTTCCTTTGCACAGTGGCCTGAGGGCCCTTCCCAAAGGCCTACTGGGCAATGTCATGACCCTGCTTAAAACCCAGAAGGCCCCCTAGTCTGCTCAGGGCACCTGGCCTCCACCCCGCTGGGCCTCCAGCCAATCCGCCTCATCCTCCTCAATCCCACCGAGGGGCTTTGCATGGGCTGTTGTCTTCTAGAAACCGTGAGCCCACAGCTGCTTCCTCCTTGGTCATGCACACCTCAACTTTTACGTCCCCGCCACAGGAAACCTTCCCTGACAATCAGAGCCAAGTCTGGCGCCCTCCAGTCGCTCACTATTTCATCATCGTGCTGTTATTATCATTGCCCTAAGCACCCTTTGGAATGATTCCGTTTATCTGCTTCCTACAAGAGGGGGGGATGTCTGTCTTGTTCAGGGCTTTGTCCCCAGGGCCTAGAAAAGTGCTTGGCACACAGTAGGCGCTCAATAACGCGTGATGGCGTGACTATTTGGGTGCAGATAGATGTGCGAGCCTTGGGCGTGGGTGTGTGCTCTGGCAGTCTTGCAGGCGCGTGGTGGGGCGGTGGGGGACCCGCTCCACGACCTCCCCCACCATGCCCCCGTCCTGCCCGCAGACCTGGGCGGCCCTTGCCTGTGTCCGGGCCCCACCGGGGGCGCCAGCAGCCCAAGCTCGCCCTACTCGGTGGAGACGCCCTACGGTTTCCACCTGGACCTGGACTTCCTCAAGTACGTGGAGGAGCTGGAGCGCGGCCCCGCAGCCCGCCGTGCCCTGGGACCCCCGCCCGCACGCCGCCCCCGTGCGCCCCGGCCCAGCCTGGCGGGCGCGCGCAGCCCAGGCGCCTGGACATCCAGCGAGTCCCTGGCCAGTGACGACGGCGGAGCGCCCTCGGGGCTCCTGCTGCCGCCACTGTCCCCGCGCGCCCCCGTGCGTAACCCACGCGTCGAGCACACGCTCCTGGAGACCAGCCGACGGCTGGAGCTGGCGCAGACGCACGAGCGCGCGCCCAGCCCCGCCCGCGCGGTCCCGCTCAGCCCGCGGGGTTCTGGTCGCAGCAGCCCGGTCCCCAACCGCGCCCCCGCCTCGCCGGGCCCCGCGCAGCTGCAGCTGGTGCGCGAGCAGATGGTCGCGGCGCTGCGGCGCCTGCGCGAGCTCGAGGACCAGGCGCGCGCGCTGCCCGAGCTGCACGAGCAGGTGCGCGCGCTGCGCGCCGAGAAGGCGAGGCTGCTGGCCGGGCGCGCGCAGCCCGAGCCCGACGGGGAGGCCGAGGCGCGCCCGGACAAGCTCGCCCAACTGCGGCGGCTCACCGAGCGCCTGGCCACCTCCGAGCGCGGCGTCCGCGCCAGGGCCAGTCCCCGGGCTGACGGCCCCGACGGGTTGGGTGCCACGCGCACCGAGGGCGCACTCCAGGTCCTCGACGGCACGTCCCAGCCGCCCGACTGGGCGCCCCAGACCCGGGAGGCGGGATCCCAGGCCATGCCCGAGACCCGAGACGAGGGTGCCCTGGCGGTGCCGGAGACACGGGAGGCCGGCGTGGAGGCGGCCCCCGAGACCGTTGAGGCGGACGCGTGGGTGACCGAGCCGCTGCTGGGGCTGCCCGTGGCCGCCGAGCGCGAGCTGGAGCTGCTGCGCGCCAGCCTGGAGCACCAGCGCGGGGTGAGCGAGCTCCTGCGGGGCCGGCTGCGGGAGCTGGAGGAGGCCCGCGAGGCTGCGGAGGAGGCGACGGCGGCCCGGCCCCCGCCGCGCGAGGCCGCCACCCAGACCCCGTGGAGAGGTACCGAGAAGGCCACGCAGACTGAGTCCCCGGCGGAGGCCCCGTCCCTGACTCAGGAGGACGTTCCTGGATCCACGGAGGGAGACAGAGCCCTGGCCCCCGCGGGTGAGTCCGGACCACTCGCTGCGTGAGTCCTCGCCTTTGGGCCCGGGACTGGAACTCAGTGTCCTCGTCTGATCCCCGCCAGGCATCCTCAAATCCATCATGAAGAAGAGAGACGGTACACCTGGTGCCCAGCCCAGCCCTGGGCCCAAGAGCCTGCAGTTCGTTGGGGTCCTCAACGGAGAGTGAGCACCTTCCCCCTCCCCATGGCAGCATCCGCTGAGAGTAGGCTGGGGGTGGATTTCCCAGCTCTGCTCCTCTGCTCGCAGCGTGGTCTTGGCAATCCTCAGTTTCCTCATCTGTGAAATGGGGACAGCCACTCCCACCTCGCAGGACTCCAGGACGGGCCCACAGGGGAGGCTCAGCAGACGCCTCCCACCCTGCCCCCAGGTACGAGAGCTCGTCCAGCGAGGACGCCAGCGACTGCGACAGCGAGGACGGTGGCGCCGAGCTTCCTAGGAGCTCGTCCTCGGGCTCGGGGGACGACAGCGGTGGGGGATCTGACTCAGGCCCTCCTAGCAGCGGGGTTGTCCGGGACCCTGAGCCCGAGGCAGAGGCCGAGCCTCAGCCAGCCGCACAGGGGAGGTGAGCGGCTCTAGGGGTTTGGAGCGGGGCGGCTGCACCCTTCCCTGTCGCCGCCGCCCCCTGGTCCCTGAGCCTCTCCCCGCCGCCTCGGCAGGTGCGAGCTGAGCCCGCGGCTGAGGGAGGCGTGCGCAGCGCTGCAGCGCCAGCTGAGCCGGCCCCGCGGAGGAGCCCGCGACAGCGTGAGTGCCGGGAGAGCCGTCGCAGGGAAGTCGCACGGGCCCCACCGGCACCTTCCCTGACCCCAGCTCTCCAAAAGGATCTCCGCCTCAGGGCAGAGACGACCTTTCCTTGGTTCCCCAAAAGGGGCCTGTCCCCAGCTTCAGTCCCCGACTCCCCAAGGGCAAGCGCTCACCGCGTTCCCCCACTCCGGGTTGTGTCACAGATTGTCCCCCAGAAGGGAAGGACGCCCTCCCTCTCTGGTTGCAGCCCCATCCCCCCACCCCCCAGGACCATCAGTGACCTGCCTTCCCTGCCTGAACACCAAAGGGTCTTCGCAGCCCGACCCTGTCCCTGCCACCGCTGACGCTGTCTTTGCCCGTCTTGGCAGGGCGCGGCACGCCTGGTGGCCCAAGAGTGGTTTCGAGTGTCGAGCCAGCGGCGCTCTCAGGCGGAGCCCGTGGCCAGGGTGCTGGAAGGGGTGACGCGCCTGGGACCAGAGCTGCTGGCGCACGTGGTGAACCTGGCAGATGGCAACGGGAACACGGCCCTGCACTACAGCGTGTCCCATGGGAACCTGGCCATCTCCAGCCTGTTGCTGGATACGGGTCAGAGCCCAGGAAGGGTGGGCGGGGACCAGGGAATGGGGGGCCGCTAGGGTGAGACCCTGGAGAAGAAAGCAGAGAGGGCTGGCCCGGCTCAGGGCGCCGCGGGCCCTGCCGCGGGTTTCTCGTTTTGTTTCGTCGCGGATGGATTGCGAAGGGCCTTTTGACGCCACCGCTTCCCCAGCTCTGCCCTGACCCTAATTACCCGCTTCGCAGGCGAAGGGAATTCTTGGCTCTGGGCTTAGGTAGACCTCCATTTAAGGGCATTACTTCACTTTGAGGGGCCCAGGCTGGAGGGTCGCTTGAGGCCAGGAGTTTGAGACCAGCCTGGGCAACAGAATGAGACCCTGTCTCTACAAAAAAAAAAAAAAAAAAAAAAAATTAGCTGGGGGTGGTGGCGCCTGTAGTCCTGGCTGCTGGGGAGGCTGAGGCAGGAGGATTGCTTGAGCCCAGGGGGTGGAGGTTACACTGAGCTCTGAGCCACCACTGCATTGCTGTATGAGACCATGCCCTCTGTCCCCGAATCTCCAGCCTGTACAGAGTTCCTGAGCCCCCATGTCCACCCTCAAGACAAGGTACTCACTGGGCAGGGCTCTGACTACCCTCCTGGGCGGGGTCACTGGGCCTGCTGCCCCCACCCCTAGAGCCCTCGCTGGCTCTATTTCTACAGGTTTCTATCACCTGCCTCCTGCTGCTCCTCCCCTGCCTCAACTTCCCCCTTCTGGAACAGAGAGGCACACATCCAGACATTACTGAGGGTCCGCGAGGCACCAGTGCAGCACTGGGGAGAGGGTGGGCCACCCACCTCCAGCTGCGTTCCCCATGGGATGCCACACTGGCTGCCAGGAGCATCCCTGGGTACCCTCCTGCAGGTCCAGTAACCTCTGGGACTCACTGCAGGCCGAGGCGGGTCTCACTGTCTGTCCCCCACCTCCCAAACACACAAATCCCTGCCGTCCCTGCAGGTGTTGGTGACTCGGGGAAGGATAGCTGCTCTGGGGGCTGGGGGACAGTGAGTGAATTCAAATGAATTTCCCGGGCATCTTGTGCCTTAAAGGGGGCTGGGGCTGCAGTAGGGGTGAGACAGGCACAGGCATTCATCACCACAAGAGGTGACAGGCTCTTTTGGTCCCCCTTTAGCTCTTGCATTCTTTTTTTTTTTTTGAAGAGACAGGGTCTCTGTTGCTCAGGCTGGAGTGCAGTGGTGTCATCATAGCTCACTGCAGCCTCAAACTCCTGGGCTCAAGCAATCCTCCTGCTTCAGCCTCCTGAGTGGCTGGGACTACAGGTACAGCCACCACCTCTAATTTTTTTTTTTATAAAGATGGGGTCTTGCTATGTTGTCCAGGCTGGTCTCAAACTCTTGGCCTCCCAAAGCGCCTTTTGGGAGGCCTACACTCTAATCCTCATTTGGGTCCCGGCCTGTCCCCTAGGCCCCCCAGTTCCTGCCCATATCCGCCTGCCTGCTGCTGTCATGTAAACTTGAGGGCTCTCCCTCCCCAGGACCCAGAGTCTTCAATGCCCTCTCTGTATAGGGCTGTTCCTCTTTCATTGCCCTCGAACTCCGGGGCTGTGTGTCCACCTGCTTTGCTGTCCACATCCAGACCTTTGCCCCCGCTTCCTCCTCAAATCCCACCTTGGACTCTCTTGTTACTGACCAGATCACTCCCCGTCACCCCTTCTTCCGCCTTCTCCCTCCCACCTCAAGTTGCTCCTTGTTTTTTGAATTTTAGCTCCTGGCCAGTTCTCCCTGCAGAGCAGGTTCACCGTCACTGGCTATGTCAGCCCGCTGAAGCTCGGGCTGCACTTTCCCGTCTGCCTAGCCCAGTGAGGCACAGCATTCACGCACACAGCAAGTTACATGAGGGCCGCAGAAGCCTAGGGTTCCCGTGAGCCAACCCCCCTTGGCTCAGGAAGGCTGCCCCAGGTGGATGGGCTGTGGCCTGTGCGGGCCCGCGTGCACTGCAAGGGAGGGAGCCTGGAAAGCAGCCCACCCTGGGTTTTATGCCCTGGGGTGCTGGACTCGCTGGGCTAAAGCATTGGAAGACATCCTGTTTCTAGGTGGGGGACAGGAACAGAGCCTGGGCTATTCCAGCAAATTCCTCCTCATCCCAGGATATTGCATTCCCAGAGCCATCTACAGTTATTTTCGAGAACTACAGTGAGAAAGGGGGAAGAAAATGGCTTGGTCCAAGGCCACCTGGAGAACTGTCCTATACTTGTCAATTTCAGTATCCTCCTGGAAGCCCCTCCAACCTCCCAGCTTCTCGGGTCCTTGGCCAGCTCCCCTCCCTTGACCTTGAGCTCTGCCCCATGTCAGAGTCTGAGGTGGGAGGATCGCTTGACGTCCAGAGTTCCAAACCAGCCTGGGCAACATACCAGATCCTGTCTCTAACAAAAAATTTAAAAATCAGGCAGGTGTGGTGGTGCGCACCTGTTAGTCCCAGCTACTTGGGAGGCTGAGGTGGGAGGATCACTTGAGCCCAGGAATTGGAGGCTGCAGTGAGCTATGACCATGCCACTGTACTCCAGCCTGGGCAACAGAGTGAGACCCTGTCTCTTAAAAAAAAGGGATTAAATAAATGAATTAATTTCCAATGGGAATAAGGGCCATGACAAAATACAACCAAGGCATGAAATCAAGAAGTGGGGCGATCCTTTAGGTAAGCAAGGCCTCGGGGTAGCTGGGTGAGGGAATATGGGCGGGACCCCTGGCTAGCCTGCAGAGACCCCACTCTGGTTATTTCTGCGTGTCCCCCTCCCCACCTGACACCCTCTACTGGCATCATGGTGGAATGGACACCTACACAACAAGCCACACAACTAGCGAATGCCCCTCCACCTTTGATGCCACTCCCCAGCCCACCACTGGGAGACACTTTTCAGAGATTTATTTTCTTTCAGCTCAGGAGGCCAGAATTCTGAAATCAAGGTGTTGGCGGGGTTGGTTCCTTCCTAGGAGCTCAGAGTCTATTCTACCCCTTTCTCCTCCCTTCCGGCAATTGCAGGCAATCCTTAGCGTTCTTGGCTTGCGACTGCTTAACTCCATTCTCTGCCTCCGTCGTTCACCTTGTGTTTGTCAGCCTCTTGTCATATGAAGACACCAATCCTGTTGGCTTAGGGCCTACCCTAATGGCCTCTTTTTAACTTGATTACATTTGCAAAGACTCTTTCCAAATAAGGTCCCAGTCACAGGCACTACGGGTTAGGACTTCAACATATCTTCTCTAGGGGAGCAAGGATGGGGGCTTGGCAGGTGGCAGCTGTGAAAACAGACTTATCCTTTCATTCAGTTGACATGTTACCGAGCACATGCTGTGTGCCGGCTATTATAAGTACTGAGGAACACAGCAGGGAACAAATCCAAGTCCCCGTCCAGTTTGAAACAGGGAGGTGTAGGGAGGCTTCCCTGAGGAGGTGAGATCTGAGCAAAACCCTGTTGAGGGAGGAACTACGTGGCTATGTCGGGGAGAGCACTGAAGTGACCACCACCGTTGGGCAGATGACATACCTGAGGCTTGGAGGGAGGTGAGTGGACTAGGTTGGGCTGGGGCTGTTGGCCTCTTGGTGGACAGGTCCCCTTCTCTCCCAGGGGTCTGTGAGGTCAACCGCCAGAATCGAGCCGGCTACTCGGCCCTCATGCTGGCCGCGCTCACTTCCGTGGGGCGTGAGGAGGACGTGGCTGTGGTACAGAGACTCTTCCGCATGGGTGATGTCAACGCCAAGGCCAGCCAGGTGCGTGGACACTCCCACTCTGGCTCTGAGTCCAGGGATCACTTCCAGTTTGGGAGTCAACCTATCTCCAACCTCCCTGCCCCCTCCCTACCCCCCAGTGTCTGCTCCAGCCTCATCCCCTTGTTCCCCACTCACCAGACAGGGCAGACGGCACTCATGCTGGCCATCAGCCATGGCCGACAGGACATGGTGGCAGCTCTGCTGGCGTGCAGGGCCGATGTGAACGCACAGGACGCAGACGGGGCCACAGCACTGATGTGTGCCAGTGAGTACGGGCGCCTGGACACTGTTCGGTTGCTACTGGCCCAGCCAGGCTGTGACCCTGCCATCCTGGACAATGTGAGTCACCACCATGGGGCTGGTGTGTTTGTGGTGGGGCCCATACTTGGCCCAGGGACCTGACCATCCCTAATGTTCCTCAGGAGGGCACCAGCGCCCTGGCCATTGCCCTGGAGGCTGAGCAGGATGAGGTGGCTGCTCTGCTGCACGCCCACCTGAGCTCGGGCCAGCCTGACACCCAGGTGAGTGCAGCCCAAGAAACACAGGCTCCGAGCTGTGAATTCAGGTGGGGAAGACACTAAACACACCCAAGGAAGCAGGCGGGATGGGGAATCTGGGTCTGCATTCTCCCACATGGCTGGGATCTCACGTCTCATCTGCAAAACACCCATGAGGTAGACACAGCCACAGGTAATAAGACCTTAAGAGAGGAAGTAACCCAGCTAAGGTCACACAGCAGAGCTGAGGAAGACCTAGCTCAGACCTCTCCCATGTGTCCCTGAGACTGCAACAGGACCCCCTCTCTCTCTAGAGCCAGACACCCCCTAAGTCCCCCACAGCCGCACCTGGTGAAGGAGGATGCAGTGACAATCGTGGAGACCCCTGGCCTCAGTGAGCTGCTGGACTCAGTGGACCTGGATGAGGGGAGATCTTTCCTTCCCCTACCTCAGCCTCTGGGACAGCCAGGATCCTCTGTACAGATGATAACCCTGGCCCAAACGCAAGGCTGTGTCTGCTTGGATGGCTGTGTCAGGGACCCATGAAAGTGAGGTGGGGGCCAAGAAGTGACACAGCCCTGGTCCACTCACTTCCCCAAATTTCTTTCCCAATAAAACGTTCCTGCTAAGCGTGTGTTTTGTCTGGAGTCAAGGGTGTGTGTGCACATACAGACACATGGTTCCCCCTCCTCAAATAGGAAATGCCTCTTTTGGGGAGACCCCCACCCCCACCCCAAGAGGCTTCCAGGGTGCAGAGTTGACCATCTGTGGGTCACCCAGAAAACCGAGCAAAACCTTAGACAACCGAGACGAGAACCGGAGTTTACGTACAACACAAAGGCTTTATTTGACAATCGCAGATCACGCCCATTGGGCCAACTGGTCGTGATCCTGACATCCAGGATCCTGTAAGCAGAACCAAGAATGACATGCTGACAGGCCGTCCCAGCAACTGGCAAACTCTCCTCTTGCCAGTCTCTTGCACACCCTTTCTGCCTCCCAAACTTTCTCACCCATGGGCTTAGCGAATCCTCCCTACCACCAGCCCGGGGTCTAACAGGGGCCGCCTTTCCGCACTCACCAGCAGCCAAGATCAGCGCAGCCTCCGAGCTTCTCGCTCGGACTCTAACAGGGTGAGCACGTCACCCTCGCGCACCGGGCCTTTCACGTTGCGGATGATAGAACGGCTCGTGTCGTCCATGAATTCCACGCGCACCTACGGGCCCGACGGAAAGGAGTCAGGGCGGGCCACGGACTGGCACCACGGGGTGGAAAGCAGATTTGGGTTCAGAGGACGTGCTGGGGTCGGATCACGAATACTTATAAGTGGAACACTGGAGCCCGAGGAACGGGCTGGACCGAGCTCGAACCTGGTTGGCAGGGCCGTGGTGAAGGATCAAGCGCTGGGATAAAGGGAATATGGGTTTTCGGATTCCAGCTGGCACAAGGCTGGGGCCACCATCAGCACTCGGACCCCGGGGAGTCGTCCCGGCGCCCACACCCGCTCACCTGCGTGCACTGTCCCTGTGAGCCAGTCCTGCCCAGCACTTTGGTGACCTGGCAGAAAGAAGCTGGGGTCAGATCTGGCCCTCCCGGCTCCTCTACATCCTCCCCCGAACCCCAAATTCGGGCCCCCACCTCACCCTGGCCAACTTGATGGGCTGCACGCGGCTTGTGTCCATAATGGCGGCGCGGCGGAGGTCGGGCGGAGAGGAGTCACGTGCCTCGGAGAGCGACTTTATATGACGCTGTAGCTCCGCCCACTTCCGCTCTCGCGAGACAGAGCCGCGTCCTTCCCAGCAGCCTTCGCGGTAGAGACGTCAACGACGCCCTTCAGCGCGGACGGAAGATGGCGTCTGCTACTCGTTTCATCCAGCGGCTGCGGAACTGGGCATCCGGGGTGCGCGGGGAGAGGGCGGGACCGCGCTCGGGGACCATGCGCTCCGTGTGCCCCGGACCCGCTCCCGCTCTCACCTTCTTCCTAAGCCAGGACCCCTCGCTCAGCCTGGGATCTCCCCGGCACCCCCTCAAACTCGTGATCCCTTTAGCCCGGGACACACCTGCCCCATCCCACCAGACCTTGACCCCCTTCTCGCCGCGGGATCTCCCTAGCTTCCGACTTTCGTCGTCTTGGGTCTTGTGGGTCCGGACCCCGGCTTTCCTCTTCACTTGCAGGACCCATATCCCTGTCTCCATCTGTTCATCCCCGGGCCATCCCTGTCCCCTCGCCCTCTCTTCTCCTGAGGTGTCCTGCAGACTGACATCCTCTCTCCTCCTCCCACAGCAAGACCTGCAGGCGAAGCTGCAGCTGCGCTACCGGGAGATCTCCAAGCGGTGAGCAGGCCCCGCTCGCTGCCCTAGCCTGTGGCTCCGTCCTTCCTCCACCAAAAATAAAATCCATGTTCCTTTAGACCCCTGGAGCGCTGGGCTGAGATCCTGCCTCCAGTCCCCTGCCAGGCCATGGAGGCAGAGATTTGCCTTTAACCCTGGGGCATCTGTGGAGACAGCTCTCATAAATATCCATGTTGGGTGTGCGTTCCGAGTGGGAATCATGAGTAGGTTTGCAGTCCTTATTGTGGCCGTGCCAGTTAGTGTTATCCCCAAACTACAGATGAAAAAGAGGCTCAGAGAGGCTAAGTCATTTGCTTAAAGTCATTCAGAAGCTAGAAAGTGACAGCTGGGATTTGAACCCAGAAATGACCTGATTTCAAACTCATTTATGTTCAAAAATTCGTTGATATTTACAAAACCGTGTCATGTATGTCCTTAGCCTTGCGGATACCAGTTAACACAAGTTCTCATCCACATTCCTTTCATGGAGCTCACTTCCTAGGGGGAAACATAGTAGGGAAACACACACAGCAGGTACCATTGTTCTGCAGTGCTCTGAAGACAGAACAAAGTGATTGAGCAGAAGCTGGAGGTTGCAACCTGAAATCAGGTGGTTGGGAAAGCTCTCTTCTAGGATATTGGCATTCTGTTGGCATTCGAGTCACCTGAGTGATGGGAAGGAACCAGTCAAAGGATCATTTTTGAAAAAGCATTCTGGGGGCCGGGCGCGGTGGCTCACGCCTGTAATCCTAGCACTCTGGGAGGCCAAGGCGGGTGGATCGCTCAAGGTCAGGAGTTTGAGACCAGCCTGAGCAAGAGCGAGACCCCGTCTCTACTAAAATTAGAAAGAAATTAATTGGACAACTAAAAATATATAGAAAAAATTAGCCGGACATGGTGGCGCATGCCTGTAGTCCCAGCTACTCGGGAGGCTGAGGCAGAAGGATCGCTGGAGCCCAGGAGTTTGAGGTTGCTGTGAGCTAGGCTGAAGCCAAGGCACTCTAGCCCAGGCAACAGAGCAAGACCCTGTCTTAAAACAAAACACAACAAAACCAGAAAAACTTACTGAATTGCTTTTCTGTCAGGCTCATTGGTAGGCCAGTTGAAGAAAGGGTTTTGTACAATTTTCAATTTCTTTAGGGTAACAGCGCCCCCTAGTGATTCATTTGGGCCCTGGTTCTTTGTACTTTTTTTCTGTGAGAATGCCGCAAACCATGGCCTTGCATATAGGTCATTTCTGTATTCCTTAAGCAAATCCTACCTTTTACATAATATACCGCTTTTAATATTAAACCTTTTTACTTTCCTTATATCTGTTTTTCTTATTTTTTTTATAATACATTCCAAGCGACTCACATGCAGAGATATTTCTTATTTTTTTAAATACCGTAAGTGTATCACTTGTTCTAAGAAAAAGTTAAATCCTAGCAAAACGGTTTCCAAACAAAAAAGCTGTTTAAAAACATGGCTAAATGTTTTTAGTCATGATCTTTAGCCAGATCTCTTTTTGTTTGTTTAAGAGACAGGGTCTCTTCTGGGCCCTGGACCCCTCCCCCACTTATGCTATTTTGAAAAATTAAAAAAAGAAGAGAGAGAGAGAAAGAGACAGGGTCTCGTTAAGTTGCCCAAGGCTGGCCTCAAACTCCTGGGCTCAATCAATCCTACCACCTCAGCCTCCCGAGTAGCTGGGACTACAGGCATGTGCCACCATGCCTGGCTAAAAACCAGGTCTTTTTACAACTTTTTTCCCTGTCTTCTCCACCCTATCTCTTTCTGGGAAGTTACTCTTGTTCTGAGCTTAGCATTTCCTTTTAAGGCCTCAGGCTTCTAGGTAAATTCAGCCCAGGGTTTAGCACAAGCCAGGACTGAGTTCTGTTTCGCCTTCTACCCACCTCTAGCTGCAGAGAGAGAATCTTGGTGTCTGACCGCATGGTGGCAGGAAATGCAGGGACCTGGGCAGGCGCCAAGGACAAGGTGTTCTTTGACCAATAAGCCTTAATCCCAGCAGAGTTCTCCAAAGAGTTCTTGTGCCAATAAGAAATCCGGGGGTTCCATAGCGTGGCCTTTGGGGTAAAAACAAAGTGGGCTAAATCTGGGACTGCACCTGCAGGTGGAGGTGAGGCGTGGGGAGGGGAGGGGGGGACATGTCTGGGCCTCCCCCTTCCCTGGGAGCCTCACAAAGGGTCTTCCATTCCCACCACATTTGGAGCAGGTAGGGGACCTGGGTTGGGGTACACCCCAGCCTCGCCTTCCAGTACCTCCATGTCCAGAGAAGGGGCTGCCACCTGCTTCTGGGCCCTGGACCCCTCCCCACGCATGTGTCCATGCCATTGTACCAAGGGACGCTTCTGGCCTGCAGCCTATCCCAGTGGCTGCCTGTGTACCCGCAGTGCAAATGAGCGTCCCTTTGTTTCAGTGCCAACGTTCTTTTCCCTCAGTACTCAGCCTCCTCCCAGGCTCCCCGTGGGCCCCAACCACAAGCTCTCCAACAACTACTACTGCACTCGAGACGGCCGCCGGCAGTCTGTGCCCCCTTCCGTCATCATGTCGTCACAGAAGGTGCTGGGGTCAGGCACGCCAGCAGAGAGGTGAGGATCTGCAGCCCTGCTTACCTAGACCTCCCACACACCCCTTCCTGCGTCTGACTCTTTCTCCCCCACCGTGGACAGGGTGCTCGTCTAGATCCTGTTAATCGAGTATCAACTGCGTCAGGAACTATGCCACCCACCAGGGGCTTTTAGTCCGAGAGATCATTTAATCCAACCCCACCCAGGGTAGGGATTAGCGCCTTATCTGGGGGTGGGTGTCTTACAAAGCAGCTGAAGTTCCGAAGTCCCTTCTGGGGCCCTGGGAGAAGCCTAATACTTACTGTTTTTATAATTGTGTATTATTTACTTACTTATTTAAGAGAGAGGGTCTTGCTCTGTTGCCCAGGCTGGAGTGCAGTGGCGTGATCATAACTCACTGCAGCCTCCAATTCCTGGTCTCTATCAATCCTCCTTCCTCGGCCTCCCGAGTAGGTAGGACTATATATTCGTACTACTGTGCCCAGGGTTAATCTTCATAATGTTTGTAAGCTCTTAGCCAATGCCATGCCTGCCTCCTAATAACTCCACGAGTTAGACAGATGACCCCTGTTGCAGAAGATGAAATCAAGGCTCAGAGAGGCCAAGTGACTGGTTTGGGTCACACAGCCTGTGGGTAGCAGAAGCAGGATTTCAGACCAGTTTGCCTGGATCCCCATTGGTGCCTGGGCTCTACAGCCGACTTGCTGTGTGGCCCTGGGACAGTCCCACAGCCTTCTTGAGCCTCAGTTTCTTCGTCTGTAAAATGGGGGCAGTAGGCATGCAGTGTACTGAGATCTGAGAAATGCTGGGGCCAGGCAGGCCTGCTGCGTAGTTAGAACTTGGTGGACAAGCCGGGCATGGCGATGTGATCCCAGCAACTTGGGAGGCCAAGGCAGGAGGATTGCTTGAGGCCAGGAGTTCAAGACCAGCCTGGGCAACGTAGTGAGACCCTGTCTCTATTAAAAAAAAAAAATTCTAGGTTGGGTGCAGTGGTTCGTGCCTATAAAATCCTAGCACTCTGGGAGGCCGAGGCAGGAGGATTGCTTGAGCCCAGGAATTTGAGACCAGCCTGAGCAAGAGCGAGACTCCTATCTCTTGTTACAAAAAATAGAAAAATTAGCCGGGCATGGTGGCGCATGCCTGTAGTCCCAGCTACTTGGGAGGATGAGGCAGGAGGATCGCTTGCGCCCAGGAATTTGAGGTTGCAGTGAGCTGGGATGATGTCACTGCACTATAATCTAGGCAACCGCGGGCGACCCTGTCTGTCCCCGCTTCCCTCCCTCCAAAAAAACAAAATTTTTAAATTTTTAAAAAAGCAACTTGGTGAATGGTCAGTGAAGCGGTGCCTGTCCCTGTCGTCACCTCCCAGTTCTCAGAAGTTGGGCACCAGAGCGGGGCAGGCTACCCTACTCCCGCGCACTCCCTCACCATGCCCCTGATGACTGCGTTTCCTAGGGCCCCTGCCTGCTGCCTCTTCCACTCCTTTGAGCTTCCTGGGAAGGTGGGAGGCCCTGGACCCCCTGCTCTTGGGGCTTCCTCTGTCACCCAGCCCTCTCGCCCCCGTTCCTGTCTTGCTCACAGTGTGATGTGTGTGAGTTTCCACAGCTGTGGGTTCCCCAGGGCTCAGGTGGGTGGGAGGAGAGGGGAGGCTTTTGCCCAGGATTTGCTGGCACAGCGTGGACTTGGGGCTCCCCCGCAGGCAGCTCGGAGCCAAAGGTGTGGTTTTCAGTTGCCAGCTGCCTGTTGACTCTCGGCTCCACCTTCCTGAGGGCAGGGCCCCGTCCTGCTAGCTCTGCCTAGGAGGGGCGCTGCCGTGTGGCGCCATATGGCTCGTGCTCAGTACCTGAGGAAGGAAGAGCAGTGGGCGGGATGGCCTGATCGCCTGGCCCTTTGGCAAGTGTCCTGTCCTTAGGCAGCAGAAAATGTGGGGGGGCTTGTCCACCTTGGGGGCCAAGAGTGGGAAGTGGGGGGCCCAGGAGCCAGAGCAGGCTGCCTGGGGGTTCACAGAGGACTTGGGGCACAAAGGGGGCTTGCCAGCTCCCAGCAAGTGTTGGCTGATCCTCTGAGGAAGCCCACTGGAGGGGACTGGGCATTCTGGAACACGCTGCACCCTGCCCGGCACATCCAGAAAGTCGCAGCAGGTGTGTTTGCACCGGGGGCAGGTGTGGTCTTTTTCAGATCTTTCCTCACCATTCTCTGGAAACCTGGCTCTGACTGAAGTCTCCTCTCCTCCTCCAGCTCAGCCATCGTGGCCTCTGAGAAGAAGGCAGTCACGCCAGCTCCTCCCATGAAGAAGTGGGAGCTGTCCAAGGACCAGCCCTACCTGTGACACTGTGCCCTAGGGCCACCTGTCTGCTTTTCCTCCTCGGATTGGGTCCAGGGAGAATATGACTTAATTTATTACAAATACATTGAACTCCAGGATCATTTCTGTGTCTACTTTTTTTTTTTTTTTTTTGAGACAGAGTCTGGCTCTGTTACCCTGGCTAGAGTGCCGTGGCGTCAGCCTAGCTCACAGCAACCTCAAACCCCTGGGCTCAAGCGATCCTCCTGCCTCAGCCTCCCGAGTAGCTGGGACTACAGGCATGCGCCACCATGCCCGGCTAGTTTTTTCTGCATATTTTTAGTTGTCCAATTAATTTCTTTCTATTTTTAGTAGAGACGGGGTCTCGCTCTTGCTCAGGATGGTTTCAAATTCCTGAGCTCAAACAATCTGCCCGCCTCGGCCTCCCAGAGAGCTAGGATTACAGGCGTGAGCCACCGCGCCCGGCCTGATTTTTTTTTTTTTTTATATATATTTTTAGTTGTCCGAATAATTTCTTTCTAATTTTTTTAGTAGAGACAGGGGTCTCGCTCTTGCTCAGGCTGGTCTCGAACTCCTGACCTTGAGTGATCCGCCCGCCTCGGCCTCCCAGAATGCTAGGATTACAGGCGTGAGCCACCGCACCCGGCCTGTGTCTTTTTTTTTTTATATATATTTTTAGTTGTCCGAATAATTTCTTTCTAATTTTTTTAGTAGAGACAGGAGTCTCGCTCTTGCTCAGGCTGATCTCGAACTCCTGACCTTGAGTGATCCGCCCGCCTCGGCCTCCCAGAATGCTAGGATTACAGGCGTGAGCCACCGCACCCGGCCTGTGTCTACTTTTTAAGTGACACTAAGCTTACTCGGATTTTGGGGTGAAGCGGGTGCTGAGTCTCCCAACTCTGTCTGCGCTCCAGGGGCTGGAGAGGCACTGTCCCTGGGGGCAGAGTCAGGTGATGTGGCGCACAGGCACGGGAGAGAGCACCGGCCCTCCCCTGAGGGCCCGCCTCTGCCCCAACAGCGGTGGGAATGGGTGACCCCTCCTGGGAGTTTGGGTTCCGGGACCTCTGTGGGTCTGGGGAACACTGACTGCAAAGGCCCATGGGAGGGGGGTGTGGACAGCAGGCCACCGGCAGGCCGCTCAGTTCTGTCACTTGAGAGCTTCAGCCCTTGCCCATGTGGGCATTCATGAGCAGCTTCCCACTGAGGCCCCTGCTAGATCTCGGCCACCCCGCAGCTCAACAGAGAACAGAGGACAGCCAGGGCGGCTCCTGGGGAAGCCCACCTAGGGCAGGTCAGTAAAGGCCTCCTTGTGCCAGAAGCCATTGTTCGAGGGCCGGCTTGGTGAGGCCCAGTTAGCCCGGGAAGGAAGGTGGCTGGTCCCTCGGGACGAATGAGCAGGAGAGAGGAATCTACACTCCTCGTTTGCAAGTTTTGTGACTCTTAAATCAGGCATGGGAGTGAGTGGGAAAAGGGCTGACACCTGGGCCCTTCCTGCACAGGCGCCCTTCTGGGTGCGTTACAGCCATGATCTTGGCTCACTCCTACACATGTAGAGCCGGCCCTGAACCCAGGCAGCTGAGGAGTCTCTGCTCAACTGCTGTACACACATCGTGGCTTCCTCAGTTTCTATCTCCGGGCCCCAGACACCTCCCTCACCAAGTTCCTGAGCCTCAAAGGCAGGATGTTCCCCACCCGTCATCTCCGGGCAGTCCTCTGGGTCACCCTTGCCATCTGTCTCCGTAGCTGTGCACCACTGCCTCTCCGCTGGGAACTGGGGAGCTTGTTAGGAAAAAAAACACTCCAAAAAGAGCTATAACCTATAACATTTTCAAATAGTGGAACACCATCAACCTGAAAATAAAACCCTTTCTTTGAAGATCTGGTCACCTGAATGCAGCCTCACGGGAAATTTGCTGGGGGGTGGGCGGGGAGGGTGCTGGCAAACTGCACGCCTGTCTTAGTGCTGAGGGACATTGACTTGTCCTGAGTCCTGCTGGCAGTTGGACTCGCTGCTCCTCCCGATGGCAGAATTGTGAATGAGGTATTTATTTTCAAGAGGAAAACTGCGGCCAGATTAGATAGAAAGCCTGTTTGGGGGGGGGGGGCTGTATTTTAAGATGGGGTCTTGCTATGTTGCCCAGGCTGGTCTGCTACTTTTGTCCTCCAAATGATCCTCCCGCCTCAGCCTCCTGAGTAGCTGGGACTTCAGGCTGGAGCCAATGTGTGCCCAGAAAGCCTGTTTTATGGGTCTACCGTGTGCTAGAGGGAAGAGAAAGCCCAAAGGCTGCCTTCGCATGATCTTTTTCCTGAAGGAGATCAGAATGATACCCAGACTTCTCTGGGGTCTGTGAGGACTAAATGAGGCAGTGAGGGTAGGTGGTCGTATCCAGGTGAGAGGGGCAGAAACCGGAACGGAAGCCAGAAACTGGACGTTTCATCCATTTACTCACTAAATATTAAGAGTCTATGCTATGAGTCAGGAACCACGTGTCAGGCAGGAACTGGGGATACAGCAATGAGTAACAGAGCATCCCTGTCCTCCCACGGATGACATTCTAGCGGGGACTCAAACAATAAACCAATAAGTAAATAAAATAATATATAACCTGTCAGGGGGCTTAAAAGCAGCAGGACAGCTGGGCGCAGTGGCTCACGCCGGTAATCCCAGCACTCTGGGAGGCTGAGGCGGGAGGATCGCTTGAGGTCAGGAGTTCAAGACCAGCCTGAGCAACATAGTGAGACCACCCGCCCCCGTGACTACTAAAAATAGAAAAATTAGCCAGGTGTGGTGGTGCACAACTGTAGTCCCAGCTACTTGGGAGACTGAGGCAGGAGCATCGCTCGAGCCCAGGAGTTTGAGGTTTCTGAGCTATGATGACGCCACTGCACTCCAGCCCCGGCGACAGAGTGAGACCCGGACTCTCAAAGAGCAGCTGGAGAAGGGAGGCTGTAGGGAGTGCTCCACCGGCGTGGGTGCCGTATTAAACAGGACCATTAGGGAGCAACATTTGCGGCAGTGTGCACGGGGAACGTGAAGTAGTGCAAGCGGACACCGACGAGTTCGTTTACAACCCGGACGTTTCTGATTTTAAGCAGGCTCCATGCTCTTCGACTGACTTTGTCACTGGGGAAAGTGAGGAAGGGCCTCAAATTCTATTTCCCCTCGTATTCGGACATTTACGGTAACACATAGCCCCGGGCGCCATTCGATTTGGGGGCGTGGCGCCCGCCCCCCGGCTTGCGCGTGCGCGTGCTCAGGAATAAGAGCTAGGCGGGGACTGCGCGTGGCTGGCGGAGCGGAGGGGTCGGCTAAACTAGCGGCTGGATGGCGCGGGGCGGAGCGCGGGGGACGGCGGCCCTGGGCCTGGCGCTGCGGTTGCTGTTGGGCCTCGGCGTAGGCCTGGAGGCCGCCCCGACCCAGTTCCCGAGCCGGACCTCGACCCAGGCCCCAGGTGAGTGAGGCTCCCCTGCAGCGCGCGCCCCCTTCGCTCCGGCGGCTCCGTCCCGCCCCCGCGCGCCGGCGGCGCCTCGTTATTGGCTACGCCGCACGTCCGTCTCAGACACTCCCCCAGCACGTGCATTTGGATTTAGTACCTTGCACCGAGTTGGGTGTTGGCGCGCGGGAGCCCGGAATGGGGGACCCTCCGCTTGGGTACTGCCACCTGCCTTTAACTGCCCTGCCCCGGCCCCGCGCACACACCCACACCTGCTGTGCTTTGTCGCGCCCCCATCGTCACCTCCAAGCCGCCCTTTAGGCCGGCGTGGTCGGGAAGGTGTATAGCAGCAGGAGGCTCAGGTTGTCTGACCTCTAACCGCGCGGGGCCGGTCACCTGGCGCCGCCTGCAGGTGAGCCTTGAAACCCTCGCTCCCAGGCCTGTGGTCGTTTTCTCAGGGCGCCCTCCGCATCCCTCCTCTTTTGTCCTCCTGCCTTAGAGAAGGAAAGGTCTCTCCCTTCCTGGTATTCTTAGGCCCTTGAAGGGCCTGGGGTCACAGGCTAAATATATTCTCATAGGCATATTTGCCCTAGCTAAGTTGTGTTGGTGGCCAGGGGACAGAGGCGTCCTCTTCGAGGTCCCCACAAGGCAGCAGGGAGGGTTGGAGCGGCCTCCCTATGCACACAACACAGATACCCCTGACTTTCAGCTCCGAGCTGAGGTTCACGCACTTCTCCCAGCTCCTCTGTGCATTCCTCTTAGTAGGTCCCCCGACTGGCTCCGAAGTCCCTGACTTTGCAGGCTAAACATTCCCGGTTCTTTCAAGGGGGGAGGGTTCACATTAACCACGCACAATACACGTTATGCACAAGCAGTTCAAGTGGTTTCCTTCCTGCAGGATGCTGAGGTAGGGGTTCCTAGCACGCACCTTTTATGAATGAGCAACCAAGCCTGGGAAGAGAAGTCACTGGTCACTCCAACTCTTGTCTGAGCCACTGCCCCGTCAGCCAGGGTCTGTCCCCCACTCTGCTGCCTGCTTTATAGAAGGACACACACACACTAGCAGGCCAGGGAAGGGAGGACAGAGGTGTCAGGGCCGAGGGTGGCTGGGCCTGGAGAGGAAGCCACGCCTGGAGGCTGCCAGACCCCCATGGGCAGGGAAGGAAGCTGGCTCCCGGTTGTCTACGGCTCTTCCGGGCTACGCAGAGCTTAGGGATGGTGTGGCTCACAGGTACAGTTGGGCCTGAAGGCCCGGTTTGTCTGGATGTGGGAGCTGGGGGTTGGAGGCCGAGGGCCCAAGTGTGAAGGCCGCCCAGACAGAGCAAAGCCAAGCCACGGTTGGATATTTGCCACCCACCTTGCCACATCCAGAAGGAAACCCTGAAGGCCACTCCTTTCCTCTGTCCTCAGATTCCTTCCTCCCACTGGCCCAGGTTTTGGGCCACTCTGTGCCCCTCCAGATTGGCCAGCGGCCTGAGCCTCTCTGCTCAGAGTCCGGGAAGTCTCAGATCTTATCTGGACTCAGCTTGGACCATTGTGTGACCTGTGTCCACTTATTGCCAGGCACTGCCCTGGGCTTAGGGCACCAGGTCACAGCCCTGACCTCCACCGAGGGTCTGGTGTGTGGGAGTACAGGCGCCACTGGTTCCAGGATCGTTGTAGACGTGGGAAGCAGAGCTTCCCGGGTTTCTGAGAGGGACCTAGGAAGACCCGTCCCAGGAAGAAAGCTGAAATCCGAGGGCTGAGCAGGAAACAGAGGGTATCGAGTGGAGGGAGGGAAGAGCGGGTGTCCTCTGGTGTCCTAATGGAAGTCAGGGCCTTGGGATTGGGGGTCTGGGGAGGAGGCGGTGACACATTCAGGATGGGGAAAGTGGTCAGGTATGGGAGGAACTCAGGAGGTGAGGTGACAGGGCTTGGTGGCTGAGCAGGTTCTCTGTCTAGGGCCTCGCTTTCCCCTTTGCTAAACAGGTGAGATAGAACAGGCCCCGCTGACTTTGACAATGAACCTGACCCAGAGCCCTTTGGGAAATGGCCTCTCCCCCAGTAACAGACTTAAACATAACCTTGTAGCTTGGAGGTCGCCGGGGTAGATCATCTGGCTATTTGGAGCTTGGTGAAAACCCTGGCATCGGTGAGACCTGGGTTCGAATCCTGACTCTGCCCCTAGCCTCCTTTTAGCATCCTCTTCTGTAGACTGGGATGGCGATAATACCTGCCTACTAGGGCTCGTGGTGAGGCTATGAACTGCTGGGCTCCAAACCTCACATGTAGTAGGTACTCAGCAATGGGTGGCTGCCCATGTCGCTCCTGCGCCCTGGGACCTGACCTGTCTCCTGGTGGTCGCAGCCTGCTCTCGGAGGGAGGTCCGGAGTCAGGCCTCCCGGGCTTCACTTGCACGTATATCGCTCGCCCCCCGCGCAGGCTCGTGCCCTTCTGCCAGCTTCCAGTGCCACACCAATGGCTTCTGCGTGCCCCTTACTTGGCGCTGCGACGGCGACTGGGACTGCAGTGACGGCAGCGACGAGGAGGAGTGCAGTGAGTGGCCACGCCCCTGGGTGGGGCTTACAAGGGCGGGTTCTGTGGCTGGGCCAGGCTTGTGGAGGCGGGGCCTGTGGGGAAGGTGGGGCCTTGTGGGGCGGGGCTTGCAAGGCAGGATGGGGGTGTCTGTGGGTCTTGCATGTAAGAAGTAAGGTCTAAGGTGGGCTCGTGGGGAGATAGAGCTAGTGGGGTCTTGGGGGAGGAGCTTGCAGGGAGGCCCATCCTTAGAAGGCGGAGCTAACGAGCAGAGGGTGGAGCCTTGGGAAGGGCAGACTTTCCCAGGCCAGGTGTTCTTAGAAGGCAGGGCTTGCAGGGTACTGGGGTATTGGGAAGTATGTGGGCCACTCTGCGTGGGTGTTTGGGACCTGACTGACCGTATGCCCCAGGGATTGAGCCATGTGCCCAGAACGGGCACTGCCCACCACCCCCTGGCCGTCCCTGCTCCTGCGATGGCATCAGTGATTGCACCGACGAGAAGCTCCGCAACTGCAGCCTCCGGGCCTGCCCAGCGGGCGAGCAGCTTTGCACGCAGGGCGATACCTGCATCCCCCACACGTGGCGCTGCGACGGCCACCCGGACTGTCCCGACTCCAGTGACGAGTTTGGCTGTGGTGTGTGCACCTCTCGGGGTGGGGAGGACCAGTGGGTGGAGGAGGACACCTGCCACCTGCTAGCGTGTGACCAGGCTGGGGTCTGTGGGAGCTGGAAGACATTATTAAGGGCAGCAGTTCTCACCAACTTTACCCAGCCTGGGATGGAGGGTGCACACCAAGGGTTCCCCTGGGCACCCGGCACCCCTGTGCATCCCCGCATGGCCTCGGTGCCCCCTCCTCAACTACTGAATGCCTGGGCTTGTTGCAGGACCCAACGAGACCTTCCAGGAAGGGAATGCCACAACCATGGGGACTCCTGTGACCCCAGAGAGTGTCACCTCTCTCAGGAATACAACAGTCTACTCCACTGGGGACCAGTCTGGAAACCCAAGTGCCTATGGGGTTATCGTAGCTGCCAGTAAGTCCGACTGACTCTACCATGGGCGTGGTGCTCCTGGGAGCACAGGGTCGGAGAGGGGTGGGCTGTAGAATGCCCATCCCTTCATATTCGGAGCTCCTGCCTCCGTCCCGCCTACCTTTCTGTCTGTCTGTCCCCCACAGTGATGCTAAGCGTCAGCCTGGTCACCGCCACCCTCCTGGTGTGCCGGCTCCAAGCCCAGGGGCGCCTGCCGCAGTCGGGGCTGTTGGCGGCTGTGAAGGAGTCCCTGCTGCTGTCAGAACGGAAGACCTTGCCGGTCTGAGGACAAGCACTTGTTACCATGTCACCCCAGTCCTGGGTGCAGCCAAGTCAGGGGGACAGCAGAGATGGGGACATGCACCCAGCTGCCGGCACACCAGCCCTCCCGGGCTCTTCTTGCCACGTGGAACCTCGAACTCGAGCTCCTGCAGACGTGGCCCTGGAGTTTGGGGGGTCCCCGGACACTCCCCCTGGACTCGGCGAGCTTGGATGGGAAACACACCACAGCCAGAACCGAGGGGCTGGCCCCAGGCTGCTCCAGATGGTGGGACGGCTCTGTGCTTAGACACTCCGGCTGCCCCGTCTAAGGGTGGTGATTAAAGTTGTTTCACATCCTCTGCCTGTCTCTGGGCCCTCTGTCTCCCTCAGCTGGGGCAGCCCGGGGTCTCTGCCGTAGCCCTCCATGGCGGTGTGCCTAGCCTAGGGAAGGCAAGACTTGGGGACCCAGCCCTGGGCGCCTCCTCGGCCACTCTGCCTCTTGCTTCCTGGGAGAAGGGGCATGTGGCTCGGGTGGGGAAGTGGTCTGCATTAATATTAGACTTCTTGGAAGAAGAACAGAGCTCGGGGGCTGCCTCCTCCTTCCCCAGGTTGGGGGACCCGCATCCACCATGACATCCTCCTTGGTGAGATGGAAGCTGGGCATCCTGGGATGGTCTCAGCTCCTCCCTATTTATCTATTTAGTTTAGAGACAGAGTCTTGCTCTGTTGCCCGGGCTGGAGTGCAGTGGTGGGATCATAGCTCACTGCAGCCTCGAACTCCTGGGCTCAAGCGATCCTCCCCCCTCGGCCTCCCAAAGTGCTGAGATTACAGGCATGAGCCACCATATCTAGAAAAGGTAGATTTTGGCCGGGCACAGTGGCTCACACCTGTAATCCTAGCACTTTGGGAGGCCAAGGCAGGAGGATCCCTGGAGGCCAGGAGTTCAAGACCAGCCTGGGCAATACAGCAAGACCCCATCAGTACAAAAAATTTTAAAAATTAGCTGGGCATGGTGGCGTGCGCTTATGATCCTAGCTACCTGGGAAGATGAGGTGGGAGGATCACTTGAGGCCAGGAGTTGGAGGCTATAGTGAATTATGATGATGCCACTGCTCTCCAGCCTGGGTGACAGAGCAAGACCCTGTCTCTAAAAAAAAAAAAAATATATATATATATATGTTTTATTATTATTCAGGCATGGTGTGGCCAACAGATAAGGAAACAATTGCCATTGTGATAATACTTTATTACTCAACAGATTCCCAAGGTTGTGGGGCACGCCCAGCCGCGCCGTGCAGGGCCACATGGGAGATAGCAGAGAGGCAGAGGGAGTGAGGGGAACACTCGATTGTGGCTCTGCAGGAAGGAACAAGCGAGGCAGGATGAGCAGGCTTTGGGTGGGCTGGTTTGAATCATTTCAGCGGGCTCTGGGGTGTAGGGGCTGCCCCGAGTTGTCCAGCCCCTGCCCCTGGGCTGATTAGGGTTAGGGGAGTAGGGAATACTGGCCTGGAGTGTAAGAGCTGCGTAAGGAGGTGGTCGGTGGTGGGTTTCCACTTGCAAGTTGTTTACTATCTCTAGGAATTCACTAGCCCTGGGAGGGACTGTCCCTCCCTGGTCATTGAGGCCCCAGATGCCAGAGCCTCGAGAATGCAGAGGGTGCGGTGGTTTATGCCTGTAATCCCAATACTCTAGAAGGCCGATGCGGGAGGACTGCTTGAGGCCAGGAGTTCGAGACCAGCCTGAGCAAGGGTGAGACCCCTGTCTCTACCAAAAACAGAAAAATCAGCCAAGCGTGGTAGCTGCACCTGTAGTCTCAGCTACTCAGGAGGCTGAGGCAGGAGGATTACTCGAGCCCAGGAGTTTTCAGGTTGCAGTGAGCTATAATGATGCCACTGCACTCCAGCGCTGGTGACAGAGCAAGACCCTGTCTCGAAAAGAAAACAAAATATAGTTAATGTAACCCTGATGTCTGGGTAACAGGGTAAAGGTCTCTGATCCTCAGTTTTCTCATCTCTGAATGGGGTGGCGAGAGCCGCAGCAGCCTCCTTGCGGGGGAATGACCTCCCGGGCACCCTTGAGATGGACGCAGGGTCTTGGGGCTGCAGTGTCTCGCAGGCAGTGAGCTGGCCCCAGATGATGAGATGGTGGTTGGGAAGAGAGGGAGCAGGTGTACTAGGAGGGCTTCCTGGAGGTGGTAAGGCTCAGATCTGGGACTCTGTCCCCCATGAGAGAAGTTGGATGAAGCGTGGTTTGAAGTCTGGGCCTTGGGTAGTGTGTTGGGGGCCAGGTTGTCGGCAGCGGGAGTTGAGGCTGCAGCCAGAATGGAGGGTCCTTGGCCCATGGCTTGGTGGTTGGAGACCTGAGCCTGTCACCTCCTCTCCCAGTTGGGCCTGCTGGGTGCTTCCTGCCCGCTGGGCCAACACGTCGTCCTGCCCCAGACATGGAACGTTGGTGGGCTGCTTCCAGCTGATAGGAAGAAGTCACACCAGAGAGTGGCTTTATTGTTTTTAAGTTTTTCTCCTTTAACAGACGGTCAGGCATGTGTGTGTCAGGCTGTGGGGCTGGCTTTAGGTGCCACACACCATGTAAGTGGACTCCTGGGATTTGGACCTTCTTGAGGTGTCATTTGGCTTCTTGGTAGAGCAAAGCACCACATGCTGGTGGCTCCAAACACCTGTCTTACTCTCTCATAGTTTCAGGTCGCCCAGGCTGGAGTGCAATGGCGCGATCACAGCTCACTGCAGTCTCGAACTTGTGGTCTCAAGCAATCCTCCTGAGTAGCTGGGAATACAGACATGCACCACCATGCCTGGTTAATTTTTCTATCTTTTGTAGAGATGGGGTCTAGCTATGTTGCCCAGGCTGGTCTCGAACTCCTGGCCTCAGTGATCTTTCTGCCTTGGCCTCCCAGAGTGCTGGGATTACAGCCGTGAGTCACCGTGCCCAGCCTTTGCTGGTAGTTCTTTTGTTCCAGGTGATGGTGGCTGCTATGATCTGGGGGCCGGCTGGCTGGACATTCTAGCGGGAATGTCTCTGTTACGTCTGGGGCCTACTGGAGACGGGGGAAGGGGAAGCTGGGAGCAGCTGGGGCTCTCCACGTGGCCTCTGGGGCAGGGTGGCTGCATTCCACTGTGACTCGGGCTTTCCAAAGTGCAAATCCCAGGCTGCCGAACCAGCATCACTCCTGCCGCATTTGTGGGTTCAGCGGAGTCCAGGTCAGCCCACGTCTTGTGTGCGTGTGTTGGGGGGTAGGGACCACATAAGGGTGTGAACACCCAGAGGTGGGGTTCATTGGGGCCCTCCTTGCAGTGGAGCCGCCACAGATGTGACCAGAGGGCACGAGCCAGCCTCGAACGGGGCAGGCTGGGGTTGGGGGCTCCCTGTCCACTTGAGCCTACTGCCTCACCTGGGCAGGTGACTTTGTTTTTCTGCCGCCTTTGTCATCTGTGCACTGGGGCAGTCACAGGTACAAAAGACTTGTCATGCGTGAGCACGCCGGGATCTCAGCTGTCTTTGTTCCATCAAGCAGGGTCACTTTGTGCTGCCAGCCACCCCTCCTGTCCCCATACAGCCAGCTTGGCAACTCATTTCCAGGAAGCTCCAGGTTCACAAGGGAGTGGGGAGGTGGGGGTGGGAGGATACCTCAGAGAGGGGGACAGAGCCCAGGTCTTTCTGCCCCGAGAGCCCAGACCTGAAGTGGTTCCCTTCCCCTACCTGGAGACCAGCCCCCCAGCATGCATCTCTGGCTCAGGTCCCCCCTTGTCCTCCTGGCACTGAGCTCGGAATCTGCCACCTTTTTTCTCTTTGCCCCATTCTGACACTTGCCTTTGGGGGCACGAGTGGCTCCGCATCTCAGCCCTAACAGGCCAGGGTCCCAGGGCAGCTGGGGATGCTGTTCCCATCCCACGTCATTGGGGGCTGTGGCCTGGAACCCGCAGGGAGGCGTGTTTGGGGAGCCCACGAGGACGTGGACCCGGTGGGCGCAGATGCCGGCACCTGGGCAGCGAGTAGCTCTGCATGGGCTCGAGTGGCCGGGAGGGGGCGCTGGGCTGGGGGCTGACGTGGGAAGGCGGGGAGGGGATGAGGAGCCACGTGTGTGTTCTTGCCCAACTCCTGACATTCCAGCTTTTTCTTTTTCCTTTTTTATTGAGGAAAATTCACAGAACGTAAAATTAACCATTAACCATTTTAAAGCTGCAATCCGGTGGCAGTTAGCGCGTTCCCAGTGTTATGCAACCGCCGCCTCTATCTAATTCCAAAACATTGTCGTCACCCCAAAAGGAAACTCCATTCCCGCTAGTAGTCATTCCCTGCCCCCCCCCCGGCCCCTGGCAACCCCTGATCTTCTTTCTGTCACTATGGAGTTGCCTGTTCTGGACGTCTCCTATAAAAGGAATCACATACTACGTGGCCTTTTGTGTCTGGCCTCTTTCACTGAGCATGATGTCAATGTTTGTCCCCGTTGGAGCATGTGTCAGTGATTCCTTCTCTCTCTCTCTCTTTTTTTTTTTTGAGACAGGGTCTCAACTCTGTCTCCCAGGCTAGAGTGCAGGGGTGTTGTCATAGCTCACTGCAACCTCGAACTCCTGGGCTCAAGTGATCCTGCCTCAGCCTCCCAAAGTGCTAGGATTACAGGCACGTACCACTGTACATGGCCCACAGATGGTGGTAACAGCTGTACGGGTAGCAAAATTCCACTTCCCTCCGCCTCTTAGGGTCCCAGCTAGGCCTGAGAATTAAATTGATGTACGACAGATTAGCAGGAGAAAAGCACACACAGATCTATCTATTTATTAATTAATTAACTTTTTTTTGAGACAGGATCTCGCCATGTGGCTCCAGGTAGAGTGTGGTGGCGTCATCACAGCTCACTGCAATGGCAGACTCCTGGGCCCAAGCGATCCTCCTCCCTCAGCCTCCTGAGTAGCTGGGACTACAGGTGCGTGCCACCAGGTGTGTGCCAACATGCTCAGCTAATGTTTGTCTGTTTTGTAGAGATGGGGTCTTACTCTTGCTCAGGCTGGTCTCAAACCCCTGGCCTCAAGCAATCCTCCCGTCTCGGCCTCCCAGAGTGCTAGGATTACAGGCGTGACCCACCGC